ACATTGAGTAAAACAAACAAATAAAACGAACTAGTTATAAATTTGGCAGATAATAAATATTTGATCATTATTAGCTGAGATGGATAATGGTTAGTTATCCATATTTCGCCCTACGTTAGACTCTTCAGCTGAAAAAATCTGCATCTCACATTTAGAGAACTTGAATCAAAATACCATTCATTGCAAACTTGATCGTATTATTCAATAAGCAGATAAGTTTCATAGGTAGACTTGATTGAAACTTTGAAAAAAACATCGTTAAAGACCTGAAAGCACTGGACAATTGTTTCGTCTAAGCATGGGATTCATCAACAGAATGCGTTCATAACAACTCTTCTCTGTGAATACTGCATCACATATAACGGGGTTGAACTCTACTGGAAGGCTGTAAAGTTTCGTTTAAATTATGAATCGATCATTGTTAGATTACCAATCAAAACCTAGCAGCAATGGACGGTTGTTTCATCTTAGCGGGGGACTCATCAACAATGTGAGTTCACAACACCCACTCGCAAGAATAAAACTCAGGCCCTTCAGTTTCATGAGTGAGCACTTAACCTCTGAACCACTAAACTAGCATCTAACAATGTTAATGTCAAACTTCAGTCAATCCACAATATTGCGTGACCCCATCCATTATCTTCAGCAGGTAACTGCATATACCCAACAGGGTTGAACTTCACTGGTCACAGCTTCTCATTGAAATTTGGAGACGAATCTAGTTACTACTAAAAATTCTAGATGTGCTTACTAGTCTTAAATATTACTAGACTGTGAAATGTTGATACATAAAATATTTTTCATTTTATTCAGTGACATAATACTTGATAGTAATTTTTATCAGTATTATTGTTATAACTTAAGTAACTGTTGCACAAAATATTATAAAAACTGAGAAATACTGATTAATAATTTGAATATAGTTTCAGTATAGTATTAGTTATGGTGGAAATATTTCCTTATTTCATTTGACAACGAAACATATTGATGATAATTTAAGACGATGAATAGTAGTGAAATCAATAACTCGTGTTTCATCCTACGTTAGACTCATCCATTAGAGAAATCTTTATCTCAGAGTTCATTTTGATTTGAAGACTTGAACCGATTACTGTTAGCTTCAAATACTATTACGTCATTCACTTACATACTGAGTTCAGATAACTACTAGTGTGTGCAATATAGTTTGAACCTTCTGAATGATGTTTAGAACTGTATTTGTTCAGTCTCCTTTGGTTTAAAAGCTTTCTGTCTATACCGATTATCTCAATTTTTCTTTTAGATTACAAGCATTATTATCAGAGATGTTTAGTGGTGACCGAGTCGAGATTGACTATGATCACCACTAAATACTAAATACTAACCACTAACCCGTCAATGAAGTATAAGTAAATCTAGAGTAAAGAATATATTTGAAGGAGAAAATGGGCGATACAACGATCAGCAAGTTATGAATGATGGTAGCAACGCAAAAAAGAAGGTTGCGCGTAAGTAAGTGATTTTAGTACAGTTAAACAAAACGGGTACAATAATAAATGTTTTCTTCCCATTAATTGCGTTTCCTTTGTAGAAGTTTTCCACTACAGATGGATAGTGGATGGTAGTGGAATCAATGACGTGTTTTTCTTGCTATATGAGACTTGTCAGCCGGATATATAATTATTTCATTTTAAAATGTATTCTACTTCAAAATAATTGAATACTGGTCTACATCCTCAATGCAATTACATCGTGGTACTAAATAATTCTAGAATCTTTACATGTTCGGTTAACTAAATTTATAAAACAAGATTTCATTCCATAAAGATTCTCTTTTCAAAATAGACTTATCATATAACGTGACTGAGGTAATAGTTTGACCTATGAAGAATTCGTGACCAGATGGATTATATATTTTTGGAGAGATCATTTACTCAAGGTAAACATTCGTAATTATAGTTGCTTGATAAAAAAACGTGAGAAAATAGACGAAGTTGAGCAATACTTTGGATTGATTAAAGTTAGACAATGATAATGTCAGATGCTGGCCCGAAAGTTTTGAGGATAAGCATTTGAGCATAGGACCGAAGGTCCTGTGTTTGGTTCTCACTAGCGGGTTCTTGTATGCAGACCTCTTATGAGTCCCATACTAAGAAGAAACCATCGTCCATATCTTCAAGGTTTGTAATGGTCGTGTAGCAATGATCGATTTATGATTTCAATGAAAATAGGAGAGATTGCATTATAAAATATCCGAGATTTCAAATATCAAAAGGATGTCAACCAATGACTCAGAAGTAATCAAAATAAAGTGATATATATATATATATATATATATTCATAATTTAAGACATTTTTCTTCAGTTTATATAAAATCACATTTTATCGGTTCCAAATTTTTCTTTTTGTTTTTAGGTCTACGTTAATTTTAATTTTTATCTGACGAATAGTCTTATACTACTCCCATCCTTTAGGTAAAGCCAGTTTACACGGTTAGAAAATTCCAGCAACTATTTAAAATTCCTGAAACTATTCAGCTCACCAACATTTTTGTATTGATATTCACGTGCAGAAAATAAAATGTCATAGAATCCCAGCTAAACCATTCACCAAGCTGGACTGTTCTGACATAAGATGACGGATCAGTGAAAGCTTAACATTTCATCGAACCCCGTTAAAATCATTTCCTTACTCATACTCAAACCCAGACAAACCCAGTTTGTGAGACGGTGGCAGCCATGGCAGCACTATTTTGACACCAAGATAAAGTAATCTATGTCAGATGCTAACTAAATAATGTGACTTTGATGGAAGCTAGAAGGTCACACCATTCTCCTTCAACTCAAGTAGGTCTAACGTTGACATTGGTGACCTAGATATGCTAAAAATAATTTTCCAATTAGAGGAATGTACGTAAGTGTTAAACATTAAAGTGACAGTTTAAAGAATTTAAGTTCTTTGAGAAAGTCTCACTTTAGTTAACAGTAAATAATCTTTCTTCTACCTCCCAAATCACGTTAAGTTTCTTCAGATGTTTGTCGGTGCAGTGCTTGATCAACCTCTTTTTATGACATAGTGAGAAGGCTCTGAAACTAGGCACTCGGAGACACTGTCTCCAGGCGGAAAACACAAAACTGGCTGCGACATCACAGTCCGTTCACCAGTCGATCCTAGTGACTCATTATTTGAATGTAACTCTTGCAGTATTTATTCACACTGCTGCTGCAAAACAGTAGCGCTCATTCAGTTTTTAGGTTCAAATGAAGTCACAGTGCAAAAAGATCCTCTAACCAACCAAACAGAAGTGAAATGATAGTCCCTTCTCGCACTGGAGGTGCCCATACTCCCCTTGTTCGTTCATCTCCTCATGTAGTAGTCAGAAATGCCACCCCGAGAGCCGTAACCGCCGTGAAGAGGTGGCAGACATATTAGCGCGTTCATTTCAAAATACTCGACTACTTGATTCACATCGGTCACAGATAATGAGAAGTAACATAGGGTAGCCGCTGGCAGTAGGAAAAGTAACACGGTGACCTCTACACAAATATATCTAGTTAACAGCACCATATGGCAAAAGAACCCAAGGACTATTTAATTTACCACTAGCACAGGCTAGACTCTTAAAACGCAGACGCGCTTGTGATCACAAATATTGGGAACAAATACTACGCTCCGCTCGACACAGCCAGATCGTGCCTGTTGCATAGGGGGTAAGTGGGGATGATAAATTAAAACCTTGCTAACAGTCAGAGAGGAAACTCGATGTCTCAGACACTAGAGATCAAACAGTTCTGTGACACTTAATAATTACTTAACAATCTGAGGTATGTAATGGAAGTTGGGAGAAAACCATGAACAAAGGCCGAGGAACAAATCAGCATGATGTCTCAAAGGATACCTGAATTAAAGTTTAGTACTCTGGATGAATGTCATGTACATGACATAAAATATTGGTGCCGTTCATTATGACAGAAGGGATACTATGAAAATCTCACCAGTGTTGTAATGTGTGATATATATATTTCCTCCCATCCTGTATTTTACCTCTTATCCAGTTGTAACTGTAAATTCACATTTCGCAGTCTTCTTTGACTGGGTTTCGTTATTCGACCTAGGATGAAAGCTAGCCTTTATCATTGATCTTATTGTTATGCAATGTCAGAGATAATAAGCTTTACATGATTGGAATCAGGATTACAGAGTGAGACGTTTTATCATCTCTCTCGTTTTACCGCCGGTATCTAGCCAGTAGTTAGATAATTTCATTTAATTGGCTGAGGGCCAATCGCAACAGAACAAGTGGATTCATTCTTTCTCTTCCCTCAAATTCTGTCATCGATTAACCAATGATACTGTTACCACTTCTTCAACACTAGGGTTTGGTCTGTTAGTTTTACCTATTTTAAGAACTACAGACGTATCAGACCATTGATGATACCAGCTGAAGTTTTCGGTGGAGTGCTGTTGGACGGAATGAAGGATTCAGTAGACATTCAGCTTCAAAATCAGTGCGACATGTTTTATGATCATCGATCATATACCCACCAAAGTGAGGCACTGCCTGTCAGTAATGAACAGTATGTCCGGCTGAAGTTATCTCTATAAATTCCGTCACTGTGAGAAAGGATTTTAAACCAACTCTCTCTACCTGTTGTTGTTAACTGTTTTCTATTGCTTACATGAATGACTATATTTGCATTTATATGCTTACTGAGTATCCGGCTTGTTTTTTCCCCCTCATTAGTTTATCTTTTATATATTTTCACTTGTTCACTCAGAAACCTATGTACTATGAGGCTTGACACAAACCACTAGATATTAGGTATCTCACCAGGGGATTTACTCGTAGAACCGAAATTATCCGAACGAGTTTCATATTACAATGGGACTAGTGTAGACGAATATGTCTATTGCTACAATCGAGGGAACGAAAAGCCTGTAATTAAATCTTGATGCCAAGAGTGAAACAAAGAAATCAGTCGATTTACACAACCACATTACAGTGTTATTGGAAGATGGGGCGCCAGGAACGAACTCTCCAAAACCTCAAGGTTAAAGCGCTACCCATACCTCAAGGAAATGTTAAAGTCATTGCTAAAAGATCCGATCTTAGATCTCAGACTCATCAATAAAAAGATACCAAAACTTTTAAGACATGAAAAGCTAGAGAAAAAGTTCTTCAAGGTTTGTTTATCTATTGTTTACGAATGAAATTCAGTTGATGGTTAAAACATGGAGTGAAGATGAAGATTCACGAAGGCTTCTAGCCTTCCTAAACATTATGAAGGCCCTTTCTGCAAAAAGAGAATGTGCAGGCTTATGCATCAAACTTATGTTTGTTGCCTTTGTTCGGAATTGTAAATTCGTCTTGGCGTCAAACATTGCTCAGATCAACTTAATGCGTGAATGCCTCTTGGAGCTATTCGGTAAGAATTTGGACGATGCATACATACACGCTTTTGTCTATACTCGTCAGTTGGCAATAACTCTACGAAAGGCATATAGTTCCAAGACCAAAGTAAGTTTCCTTACCAGCTCTAAATTTTCTTGATCTAAATTGTATCTTTTATCTTTCTTATTAAAATTCGTCTGAAATTTTGCTGTTCCTAGTAAACGTACATTATGTGCGTGGGTTTCATCTTTACGAAACGTATCCGGCTTTGTGGTTTTTTAACTCGATAAGGTTGATATCCTGAATCACACAAGAATTTCGTTTTTTTTTTAATATTCAACCTTCATATCATATGATCAAAATACAGTAGTTAAGACAAAAGAAAAAACATCTCTAAATGATCGTTAAAGTTCATCGGAGTTGTCTCCTGGCTGTTTTAAATGCTCGACACACCTTTGGCTCACTTCGTTTCCGTAAATTTGAATCGGTTTTCTAGCAGTTTAAGTAGATACTTCCGTGTATTGTGAATAGTTTTATGTGCTAAACTAGTTTCCATGCTGCGATTATCATCACTTCAATACCTGTCTACTGTTATGTATCGTAAACCTGGTTTCATTTCCAGTTGTTGTTTGTTGAGTTTTTTATTTTTTAACGAGATGTAACACATCTTATGTTTCTTTCCAGGAAGATATGCAATCTGTTGCTAACTGGCAATTTGTGTATAGTCTTCGATTGTGGTGTGATTTCGCTTCAAGATATGCAAATGTTCATACCTTAGTACAATCACTTATTCATCCACTAAGTCAACTGGTATATGGAACAATCAAGTAAGATTTTGTTAACTGTAGATAATAAATTCATTTTCCTTGGTTCATGAATGATAGTGATGTATAGTTGTTTGGGATTGTGTAAACTAAAAATAATACGTTATTTTACTATGTTTTTGTTAATAAACTGAGTATTTAGGCTGCTAAAAACTACATTCGAACAAAACATCCAATCATAACTTGTATGTATTTTCACATATCTAATAAAAGGGCGGAGTTAAAATGCCTTATAAGCATGAATACCTCATATCAACAGTTGCTTTACAATTTTTAACTTATAATATATAAAGATAGATATATCACAGCATTCACTTTTGTCTGCGTTCTTGCAAACACAATAATTAAATTGACATAAAATCCTTGTTCTCTGTTATTAAACTCATACTCAAATTTGTTTCACTGTAATATTGTTTTGAGCTTAACCATCCATTCAAGAATATTTCTAATCACTATACAAGTGGGCATTCAATCAACACTGTTCACTTACTGATAAATATCAGCTATGATCATATCAGATACAATCATCGATTTCTTCACTTTGTATAAAATATACCATATGACTGCAGTGTTAATTGACCTTTTAAACCACGTGTAATGTTAATCATCAAGGGGAATCTAGTTTTGACAATATACAAATTCAGCTCAGTGATTAACTTGGGCACTTCGTTGTGTACTACCATTTAGACTAAAAGTGTTTAAAAAAGTAGATAGTCAATTCAAGACTTAATTTTCGAGTTTGTTTAAAGTTTAAACATGTATTATTTTCACTGCACTTTAAAACAACAATTAAAACTATTCAGTGGTCAGTCAAATATTACTTTCACAAGCCACATAGTGCTGGGCTCCAAATAAGGCTATGATGGTTGATATTTTTCAAATTCAGTAGACTAATGATACTACACTAATGTTGTTAAATATCATTGTTCAGAAAGGTAAAATAAAAACGTTTTTGCACGGTCATTCAGATACACTGTACAACTTCATACGTATATGCATCATTTCAAGTTGCCATAGTACATTACGACAGAGCTTCAATTATCAATTCAAATGACATAGTGGTAGAGGGAGCAGAAGTATGAGCAGTAATTAGAAGGATCAGGGTTTGAAGGTGTTATTCAAAGATTATAATCTGGCGTCATAAATTCAAAAGGAGTAAAAAAGTCGTAAGGAATTTAGAAGGATAGAATCTATGAACAGACAAAAATCTAGATGCATCTTAACCATTGCAAAGGATTTTGAGCTGTGCCACTCAAGGTCTCTAACCAGCAGTTACGATTGCCTCGCGGACCCCAACCGAGTAGTCTACACGTACTAACATGGCTCAATCCATTTGTCAGTAACTTCATGAATTTGTGCCTTGTTTCGGTTTGACAGCTCCTAGCTTTCTTCAGGTCTACCCTTACACCATAATACATAGCTCGTCGAGGTAGTCGGTGGTTAGGCATGCATAACACATGTCCCAACCTCCTCAATTGGTGAAGTTTCCCTGCTTCATCTATTGATCTGTCATCCTTACCTAGCACACGTTTCTTAATACCAACATTGCTTACTCGGTGATCCCAGGATATCCGAGCAGTGCTTCAAAGCCATCTAAAAATATTCTCTACTCTAACTGGTCATGTTTCACAGCCATAAAGTAGGTCGAAGCGAACTGCTGCACAGTAAACTCGTCTTTCGGTTGGTAAACGGATATCCCGTCTACTCCATAAGTGACACAAGTTGACGAAAACCAGTCGAGCCTTCTGTATTCGTGCTAGGATTTCGTCACTCACCAGGCCATCAGCGTTGATAAGACTCCCAAGGTAAGTGAAGTGGTTAGGCCTTCTTGTTGTTAAATAACATTCCATTTAATTTTAAGCCTAATCATTTCCTTGAGAAATAACTCAATCTTATCCTTTTATAGATTAAATAAAGGTCAACGTTGGCTACCATTACATTTTCATTGTGTTTCTATGCTTCACAATATGGCTGGTGTACCTGTTCTATGCGAGACAAATTTATCCAATGAGAAACAAACAACAGAAGATAATCATACTAATAATAATAATAACGATGATGTTAAACTACCATTAACTGGTAGAGCTTTATCAACTGATACTCGTCTACTAATACCGACATTACCAATATTATTAGATGTATTTCAATTAGTGAATTTTAATCAACGATCTGGACGTGTTTCCAATGCACCATTAGATTTACGCTTATTGTTACATTTTACACCGAGTCAACTACGTGAAACTGCATCGAATGATGCAATTATTAATTGGTTATTTGATTTATTAGCCGAATGTATGGCATTACATGCAAATTCAATTGTTTTCCCGGAATATTCATTACCTTTTATCAATGAAGTAAGTCTGTGAGTTTGTTTTTTTTTTATTTCATTGACTTGTGAGTGTATTGATGGTAGCTGAACTAAGGCAGTTTAATTGTAAAGTATGAAGTAGGCGTTGAAGATGGCTAAGAGAACTCGGATAGTATAGAAACCACCTATATGGGCTACAAATTCTCCCTTTTGTTTCATTCATAATCGATCGACATAAGACCCCACACAAATCGGTCGTTAACACATGAAACCAAGACATTTTTGTACAGAACTGATATGATAATGAGGATTCCATCATCACTTATCTCGGGAGTATCATCATTGCTGAAGGCCTGGTGACTGACGAAATCGCAGTACGGGTACAGAAGGTTCTTTTGGCTTTTGCCAACTTGCGTCACTTATGGCATAGGTGAGATGTCTGTCTGCTAACCGAAGGACGAGTCTACTGCGCAGCGATTGGCTCCGTTCTTCTCTATGGCTGTGGCACATGGCCGGCAAGAGTAGAGGATATTCGTAGGTTACTAGTTAGTTGGCATAGTCTACCAGGTTGGGGTCCGCGAGACGATAGTAACCAATGGTTAGAGACCTTGAATGACATGGTTCAAAATCGTTTGCAATGGCGTAGGTGCATCCACTCTTTGTGTTCTAAGAAATCCTAATCTTTTGAATTCATCATCTCTACCTTTCTCTTTCTAAATTTATCCCACCGAATTATACTTCTTGAATGATGTCTTGGAACCCTAAACTTCTCCATTACCGCTGATACTTCTACTATCTCTACCACTATGGAATTTGAACCGACAACTACATCTCTGTGATAATGTTGTATGGCAGCTTGAACTTATGTACTTAACATACGAAGTTCTACGCTGTAACTGACTGACTGACTGACTGGCCATCATATGTGGACAACTTTCTGAATACATAATCAAATACTAGTAACTTTGATAGGTTTTCACTTTCAAGGGGCCATGTTTCCTAACCATAAAGTAAGATAAAGTAACTTGATGTTTTGTATATCTCTCCTTTTACTGAACTGACACATCTCACCCACACTAAAAATTAATAATTGTGAAAAGGCTGCTAATCCTACTGAGCTCGTCAAACCTCAGTAAGCAAAATAGGGTTCAAGTTTATGAATTAGTTATTGACAGCTGTAAATATG